CACCAACACCACCAACACCAACAACAACAACAACAACACCAGCAGCAGCAGCAGCAACAACAACAACAACAACAACAAACATGTTAATTGTGGTAGTTTAAGGCGCAGACGGTTCAGGAGACCTTCGAAATAAGGGCTTGGAATATGAACCGTACCCAAAGAAACAGCAGAAGTAGGTTATGGCAGTTTCCGAAAATAAGGGACCCTAATATAGTACTCTAAATAGTAAGATCCTTATTATACGGACCCCAAATTTGGGTACCCCTGATTTTCGGAAACTCCCTTATGGCCGTTTAAGGTGCAATCGGCTCAGGAGACCTTCGGCCTCTAAGGCTGCCAAGGCTTCTTCGGCCTCTCTGGGCAGGATTTTGGCTTTAGGGTTAACGGGTTAAGAGTTTAGGGTTTAGGGTTAACGGTTAAGGGTTTAGGGTTCAGGGTTAAGGGTTTAGGGTTAAGGGTCTACGGTTAACGGCTAAGGGTTTAAGGGTTCAGGGTTTAGGGTTAACAGATAAGGGGTTAGGGTTCAGGGTTAAGGGTTAACCGTTAAGGGTTCAGGCTTCTTCGGCCTCTCTTGGAAGGGACTCGCCAGCACGCAAGGAAAGTACCACCAAGAAGGGCCGCTCCTGGGCCGCTGTGAAGGAGCTTTAGTTAAGCTACTATAATAAGGAATCCCTACTATTCACTATATACATATATATATATATCCCCTTAAGGAACTTAAGTTGAGCTACTATATTAAGGAATTCCTACTATTTACCACATACACATACCCCAATTATTATGGTAACTTAAAATACATCAATACAGTAAGTTCCTGAACAGCAACCCAGTCTCTGGCATCTCGCAAGGAGCTTCGCGGGACGAACTCCGGATGGAGTGTGCCAAAGTTCGCAGGGCGTCGACGTACACCAGCACGATGGCCGTGGCGTCAGCATCTTCTTCCTCATCTCCGTCGCTGTAGTGGCCAGGTTTCTCTAAAGGGTGGTGGATGCTTCGAAAAAGGTCCTCCGAAGTGAGAACAGTTGCAATGGCAAAGGTGCCCGGCTCCTTGGAGTACTGCAAGCACTCAGGAGGGTCTTTGGCTGCAACCGAAATCGGGTCTTCGACTTTCGGCTGCAACTCCAGCGTGGCCTGCCAGGCTCCATCTGCCACCTTGCGATCCTTGAACCAGAATGCCTGCGCCATCAGCCGACAGGCTGGGCAAGCTGCACCGTCCAGTCGACGATGTGCACTTCGACACGGCAGTTCGAACTTGGAACGGAGAACTCCTTGTGCCTGGGCCAGCTCCTCCCACATACGGCAGCATGGACGCTCGAGGTCCATTCCGAGCCACCTAGACGCGGCGGTCGACCTGTCCACGGGCTGCCAAAGCTGTAGCCACATGGCCTTCGTGTAGGGTTTATAGAGCTTTGGGATTAGGGCTGAGAGTTTAGGGACTAGGGCTTAAGCGGCTTACGGTTTGGGGTGCCGCATGGCCTTCACCACCTCCAGTTGCCTTTCCAGCTGGTGCAGAGCCTCGGCTGGACCGACTTTCAAGCTCGAGTTGGCCAAAGTCCTGGGTTGCTGCTAATGACCTCAAACTAAGTTACCAGAATCTGGAAACCATATTTAACATATATATATATATGTATATATATATATATATTTTTTCTGTTCTAAATAGCCGAAATAGCCCCATTTATGGTAACTTCAAAACAAGTTCCTCAGGAGCAACCCAGGTTCTCCTCCATTTGCTTACGGGCCGATGCCGCGACTTCCGCCGGTCGGAAGCCCGGGGCGGCCGGTGAGCAGCCGTGCCTTAAGGAGGAAATAAAACACCAAAAGGGGGCTTAGGGTTTAGGGTCCAGGGTTTGAGCCGCGGTTTTAGGTTTAGGGTTTCGGGGTTTAAGGCTCATGTACCGTATAGGGATTCATAGTATAAGGATATTCGGGGTACACGACCCCCAGCTTTCAGGGGGTCCTTTTGGTCTTCAAGGTGCTCTTTGGCCATTCCGAAGCGCTTCAGGCAAAGCCGATGAATGAAGCCAAAGGA